TCTCTCTCTCTCTCTCTCTCTCTCTCTCTCTCTCTTTCTCTCCCCCCTCCTCTCTCTCTCATTTATTTTGTCGTCTACCTTTGTTTCAGTCTGACCTCTTCGTTTGTAGCTCTTCATTCTTCTCTCATTCATTCTGTCATTTGCTTGTCTATCCGTTTGTTCGCCTGTCGGTGAACATTTTGTTTCCATAAGTTCGTCGATTGCGGGACGAGTGCCTGTTGACATGACTGATTAAACATGACAACTCAATGACAACTCAAAAGGGTCTAACTTGGTGGGCGCCTCCGATTTGATAAAATAATTAAACCAGGATAATTATGCGGACATTGGAACTCCTAGAAGCGGCTAATTGTTTTCCAATGGGTGGTTGGCAGGTGATCTGGTGTTGTTTGCTTCTTCTTTCAAGCTTATATTTCTTGGCGGATGCTCTGGTCTGGTTTGCTCCTTCTTTCCTATCAAACAATTTTTAACATCTACTTGTCAATATCTCTCCTTCTTCTGTTTTGAATACTACTATCTAGCAACACCTTTAATCATCGACACTAACGTTACCCATTAAGTGTTGCAAGTGTCGTGATTTTTTTGGGGCTAAAACTAAAACTAAACCGTTCTTTGAAGTCCAGTGGGTGTTTCGTAAGTGTTTTGATGTTGGTTACGCATTTTTCCCAATCAAACAAATCTGTCTTTCGTTATCTCTCGTCCATATCTTTGTATGTTGCAATCCAGTAACCCCTCTAATCTTGGACACTTATGTTTTGACCCATTTGTGTTGCAAGTGCCGTAAAATTCTGACTGAAACTAAAACTAAATCGTTCTTTGCAGTCCAGTGGGTGGTGGGCAGGTGCTGTGAGGTGTTTCTCTCCTTCCTTCCTATCAAACACCTATCGTTCGTATCTCTCCTCCATTATGTTGTATATCACTAAAGTAGCAACAGTGGGTGGTTGGCGAGTGCTCTGGTGTGGTTTGCTTCTTCTTTCCTGAAACATCTATCGTCCTTATCTCCCCTTCTTCTTTTTTATGTTTGTTACCCTCTTGTAACACCTCTAATCTTTTGGCGCTCATATGACCTTATGCAGCGCCGTAAAGCCTCTTCTAAAACTAAACTAAAGTAGCAACAACTCTAATCTTCATCACATATCTGTTGTAAGTGTCTAAAAAATCTTACCAAAAACTAAAACTAAACCGTTGTTTTTTGTTGTTTTGTTACAGCCCACGGGACGAGCGACTGCCTATGCTGGGGATGTACGGGCCCCCACACGGACTGGAGCCCAGGCTACCACCGCCGACCTCGGAGGCTGAGAGTGAGTGGACTCTGTCTTTTTGTCCACGCCTAGGGCACATGTTATGGAGTTTTGGGTTTTGTTTGTTTGTTTGTTTGTTTGTTTGTTTCCTTGTTTATTTGTTTGTTTGTTTCCTTGTTTATTTGTTTGTTTCCTTGTTTATTTTTGTTTGTTTGTTTGTTTCCTTGTTTATTTGTTTGTTTGTTTGTTTGTTTGTTTCCTTGTTTATTTGTTTGTTTCCTTGTTTATTTTTGTTTATTTGTTTGTTTCCTTGTTTATTTTTGTTTGTTTGTTTGTTTCCTTGTTTATTTGTTTGTTTGTTTGTTTGTTTGTTTCCTTGTTTATTTGTTTGTTT